TTTCTCATCTGTGAAATGAGCTGGAGAAGTAAATGGCAAACCACTCTAGTATCTTTGCCAAGAAAACCCCAAAAGGGTCATGAAGAGTTGGGCACAACTGAAAAATAACTGAACTGAATCTACACACACACAAACACACATGCACACACATGCACACATGCATACACACATATGCACAAATGCACACACAAACACACACCCCCTAAACACTTTCAGGAAAAAGCAAAAGTTTCCTAACTAAATGGTGAAAGAAACAATACTTTCAAATTTATTTTCTGTAATATTTTCATGATTTCACTAGCTCATCTTCTTCCTTACCCCTTCATATGGACTTCTCTCAAGACTCTATTCTTATCCCTCTTCTCTATTTTTTTTTTGCCAATCTCACCCTCATATATGTCTTTAATAATCATCTCTAGACAAAGATCTCCAAGATCTTTATTCCATTCCCAACCTCCTTGTATAATTCCAGTTCTAAATTTTCAATTGTTAGAATCTTCATCTGGATATGTCTCCCTGGTACCTCTGAACCCAATTAATTATAGCATCATCATTATCAAATTGGAAGGAACTGTTCAAATCATGTAGTTCAGCCCATATTTGAGCAGAACTGAACTCTCAAATCCATGACAAAAGGTCATTCCATCTCATTGGAAGGCCAACAATAATTACGGCCCCAACACCTCAAGGACTCCTCTCTATGCCTTGTTTCATCCTGCTTTCTCTGAAATCCATGCTTTTGTTTCCAACTCCTCCCTCCCCCCATGAACCAAACAAGTATTTATCCAATTCTTAGTGTCAAGCACATGCTAAAAGCCAGAAGCACAAAGACAAAAATGAAACAGCTTCAACCTTTACACAGGTTGCATTTTATCAGGGAGAACAACGTGTACCCGTATCAATAAATATAAAATATAAACAAAGTTAAATTATGTACCCAGAAAGAAAAGAAGATAGAGATGAATGGAGAAGTTGTTTTTGTGTTTTTTCTTTATCTGTGATTTTATTTTTGTGTTGAATTGAACTGATAATGATTTCCTATGATTCCTATATAAATAATCATTATTTGAATTTTACAAAGAGAGGAGACCCAAATGAGGAAATGGTATTGAAGTAGCTGAATTTCTCATTTCAGCACTACTTTTCTCATACACAGAAGTGAAAGAGGAAAAAAAAATCTGTTCAAATCACATCAAAACAAAATTTTAGTTAAGGAAAATGACCGGACCTATAATTGGTATTGGGATCTCCCAAGTGAAACTCCCTTTATCAGTGTGTAGGTTGGTGCCTTCTGTACAAGATACAGTCTTAGGGGCCTTCAAGCACTGAGAGATTTAAGTGATTTGCCCATGTTCGCATAGACAGTGTGTCAGAGGTGGGATTTGAATCCAGGTCTTGAGACAACTCTGCAGCCACTGTGCTATTCTGCCTCTCTTGTTTTGAGGACATCATATATATCTATCTTCATCTTGGTAGAGATGGAGATAGATATAGCTATTTGAAAATTCTTCTTGCACACACAATGATGATATGAAGTATAGATGATCTCATCAATGGACATATTTCTTTGCCCCATCTTGGCTGGGCTCTGTATAGGTTACTTAGTACCACCAGACCGGATGTTGTAAAGGCTAATTGGAATAAAAGAGCAGGTGGGTTTGATTTTGTTTTGTTGCTCCTTGGACTCTAGTGAATAATACTTACAAGTGAGAAATGTACACTGTTTAAAGACATTTCCGCAATTCTCAGAGGAACCCTCTTGTTATGATAGATTCTGACCTTTGGAAGGATATAGGGAATCAGGATGTCTCCTCACCATTGTTTCTCTTCTCATAATACTGTGGCAAGGGAAATCTTGAACCATGGTGCGTGAATTTATGTCTACATAAGGCTTTGGAACTTTTATGTACCCTAGTGGGCTCCTGAGACCTTTTGGCTGTCAATCCTAAATAAGAAACAAAAGAGAAAATATTTTTCTTCCTTGGTTGACCTTCTGTGTCTAAGGATTCCTTTCTGTCTTACCTGCATCATTGTCAAACTGATTGTTATATAATAAGAACATTTTCATATTACAAAGTGTTTTGCAAAGAAAGGATTAGGAGCTGTCAATATCCTATGTGGTGATACTGTTGTGGCCTCAACTAAATCACCATAAGAAAAAAAAATATTGTGTGTGTGTGTGTGTGTGTGTGTGTGTGTGTGTGTGTGTGTAGTGAGCTGCGGTTAAAGGGCTAATAAAGTTTAGAAGCATAGGTCTGTTGGCTTCAGTGTTCTTAACCAAAGAATGAGGAGGAGTTGAACTAGTAGTTTCTTTTAGATTTAAATCTATGATCCCCTGATATCATCTTTACAGGTGATCCTTTAGCCCAAAAGAATAACTCAGTGTGTCAGAAGTATAATTAAGATAAATGTACTTAAATAGGAATTGTCTTCCTCCTTTGTTCATTTGTCTTTATGTGACCTCCTTGTTCTTCTCCCATTGCCTCACCCTCTGTCCTTGACTGCCTGCCTGCCTTCCTTCCTTCTTTCCTTCCTTCCTCCTCCTCCTCCTCTTCCTCCTCCTCCCCCTCTTCCTCCTCCTCCTCCCCCTCCTCCTCCCCTCCTCCTCCCCCTCTTCTCCTCCTCCCCTCTCCTCCTCCCCCTCCTCCTCCCCCCTCCTCCTCCCCCTCCTCCTCCCCTCCTCCTCCTCCTCCTCCTCCTCCTCCTCTCCTCGTCCTCCTTCTTCTTCTTCTTCTTCTTCTTCTTCTTCTTCTTCTTCTTCTTCTTCTTCTTCTTCTTCTTCTTCTTCTTCTTCTCTCTCTCCCCATGACTTACCTTCTGTCTCTCTTCCTTTCCACAGTTCATTTCCTTTTGTTCTACTTCGTCTTTCTACTCTTTTCTTTGTTACTCTTTATACCCTTCCATTTCTTTCCTTCCCCTCCCAATGATCTCTCATTTATATCCATTGACTTCATATAATTTAGACATTGTGCTTTATTTAACATTTCTTGATTAAATTTGCCTGTTCCTCATTCTTATTAAGAAAATAAGAATTTATTTAGAAAATAATCCAACTGTCTTCCAGACATCTCAAACTAGATATCCAGTAGACATATTGAAATGAGTATGTCCAAAACAGAATTTATTATCTTTTCCCCTAATCTCTCTCCACCCCTTCCTTCACTATTACTGCAGAGGGCAACAATACCATCCTCCCAGTCCTCCAGGCTTGCAACCTAAGCTCACTATCTCACCTCACTGTCTCTCAACTCCCATATACACGCTGTTGCCAACATCTCTCAAATATGTCCCTTTCTCTCCTCTGACACTGCCACAACTCTAGTGCAGACCCTCATCTCCTCACACCTTGATTACTTCAATGGACTGCTGGTAAGTCTGCCTGTTTCAAGTCTCCCCCCACTCTAATCCATCCTCCATTCAGGCTCTAAAGTGATTTTCCTAAAGCACAAATCCAATCACATAACACCCCCTGCTCAATAAACTCTAGTGGCTTCTTATTGACCCCAGAAGCAAATATAAAATGATCTGTTAAACATTTGAAGCCTTTAATAACCTAGCCCCTCCTACCTTTCCAGTCTTCTCATACCTTATTCCCCAATACTCATTCTTACTCCCCAATATATACTCTTTGATCCAGTGACATTGGACTCCTGCCTGTCCTACAAATAAGACACCCCATCTCTTGGCATTTTCTCTGCCTGTCCTCCATGTCTGGAATGCTATACCTCCTCCAGTCATCTGACTACAAACTTCCTTGGCTTCTTTTAAATTCTAACTAAAATCCCACCTTCTATAGGAAACTTTCCCCAATCCCTCTTAATTTCCAGGCCTTCCTTCTTTTAATTATTTCCCATTTATCCTGCATAAAACTTTCTTTCTATATTTTTGTTTGCATGTTATCTTCCCCATTAGACTGAAAACTCTTTGAGGGCAGGGACTCTTTCTTTTTTGGTGTCTCTAGCACTAGCACAGTACCTGACACATAGTAGGTGCTTAATAAATGTTTATTGATTGATTGAAAAGGAAGGATAATGTTTTATATTTCCCTTTTGACTTAACAACAAAATAATTCAATCAGCTGATTATGTTCTTCAATTATTTCTCTCCACTTGTTAATAGCCCTAAATCAAAGTCCCTTTCCTCTGCTTAAATGATAAAAGATTCAATCCATATCAATATTTTGTAAATGCCATGTAAGACACAGTGTTTGAAACACAAAGCCAAAAATATCACCTGCCTCCAAAGAACTTCAGTTCTACTGGTGATGGAGTATGGCCCAAGCCCATTTGTCTATGGGCCCTAGAAAACCTCACCTTGGACTCTCCTTGAACTCCCCCATTTGATCAAGGAAGTGTCTAGGTTTGCCTGAGGCTATAATCCTATCAACTGGCCTTTCCTTATCTCTTAAACCCAATCTCCCAATTCTCCATTACTCTTAATCTAACACAGCCCTCATTGTTGATTACCTCCTGATGACTCCTGGCTACTTCCTACCCAAGATCCTTAGTCCTTCAGTCACCCCAAACTACTTGGCCACTCCTAGATCCCTCCCACAATCGTTCTGTAGATAATCTATCTTGTCTCTATTAAGATGCTTAGATTCTTAAAATCTAGCCAATAGCTGAGACCTACTCTAGCCTGCTTGTCAATTCACAAATGTTCAGATTCCTTAAGAGTCTGGCCAATGTGGGGGATCTTTAATAAACCTTGTCTGTGGCTGAAAGAAGGTGAATGGAATGTAGTTGAAGACCTCCCATAAAACCTAAACTCATAAGATATAAGATGTTATATCTAACTGTGAAAACAAATGGTTGTCCATGGGACAGAAACAAAGGAACTCAGGAATTTCACAGGGTTTTGTAGAATAAGGACATTGCAAAATAACCACGTCTGCTTGTCTGCTACCGTCCCCGGAAAGATTTTATCGCATCTAGAATGTACCCTCAAGGCCTGTAACTACGGGCTAAGAGGAAGGGGGTTAGGGAGGGGAGTTGTGATAGGGCCCTTATAAAAACCTGCTGTATCTAGGTTCCTCGTGCCCTGACACTAAGAGGTTTTTCAGTGCGGGTGGCCCTTTCTCGCGAGATCGTAATAAAAATTCCTTTCTGCCTTCTACCTGGAGAAGCCTCTGAATTTATTGGAAATAAGGATAGCTGTCCCACACAGCTTTTGGAGGTCCCACCGAGATATTTTTCCCGCCTGGGCTAGATCGTCCCTATCAGGATCCTCGGGCAGGTACCCACTGGGAATTTTTTTCCCAGCGGTCCCTGGATCTTGTGGGAAGAACTCACCCCAGTGGGGTAAACCGTTCTCGAAGAAAGGAACTCAGGGAAGGCAGAAGCGAAAACAAGTGGAGCTCCAATGGTGCTAGCGAAGACAGTCGACAGAGAAAACTGATTTATGGTCACGTAAAGTTTGTGTACACAGACCCAGGAAGCAAGATCCCGTGAGTCCTTGGCACCTAAGCGGTTGGAGTCCGTAAGGCTGCCAGGGCCAAGATCTGGTGAGCCCCTGGGTGACCGGAGTGGGGAGGGAGGGAGGAAAGTCTACGTGGTTCGAGTCCGTAAGGCTCCCGCTCCCCTAAAAGGAGTTTGGTGAGATCGGGTGAGTCCTGAAGGGACGAGAACTCGTGAACCATGGGAAAAGGAACAGTCTAAGAGGGAACCTGGGACAAAATGAGTTTCTTTTGACCGGTCAAGGTTAGAAGTAGGATTGTGCGCACCCTGTCTGTCTGTCTATGGATGTTTTGCGTCTGCCAGAAAAATTTTGGGGTAACTTTTGAGGTCTGAGATTGGAAAAGGAACAGTGGGAAAGACCTCCTGCCTCAGGCTTTCTGGGGGAGATTGAGATTAGAATAAAAAAGGAGAGAATCTCTCAGAAGTTAGTGGAAGTCCAGCAAGCAGCCTTCAACTGATAAGGAGCCCAAGATGGGAGAAGAAAAAGGTTGAGGATTAGAATTCAGGTTTAATGGGATCCCAAGGCTAAGAGTTTGAATGGCTGTCTTTATCCCTCCAGCCAATGTATCTGGTATTGGGAGCAATGTGTTTAACATAACAAAAATAAGGGTTTTTAACATTATAAAAACTATTTGGGGAGAGGTTTTCTAAAATTTTGCAGGTCATTGTGATTGGAGATTGTTAGGCTGTTCAAATACTTATTGGAACTCTAGAGGATTTCCTTGCATAAGGGAGGAAAGGTGATTAAGCCCAGTTAAGTTTGAAGTAGGAAAGAAAAAAAAAAGGGAGATAATTGTTTAAAGCAGGAACTATTTACATGTGTCTTTTTAAGGGAATATATAAACATGTGGATAATATTTGCTTTTGAAGGTCCAAGAGTATTGGATTTAAAACAAAAATGTTTTTAAATGTTTATCATATATAGCAATTATAAATTAGGATCTGATTGGATTTAAGTTTACTGTTCTATAAAGGAAAAACCTAATGGCTAGTATGGAAAAGAAAATGAATGATGATTGTAGAATGCTTAATACAATGGCATATGTTAGAAGTGGCACTATTTATTATTTAATGTAATTGTGAAAAGTACTAAGAGTAATAAGAGAGATAATTTCTGTATATGATAATTTGGAAATGTAATTGATAGTATCTAAAGTTTATTATTTAAGGTATTACTGTATTTCTAAATTGTATTTCTAAAACTCTTAGATTGTAAAATTTGAGGGACCATTGTGAGGTAGAAATGGTGTTAAAGTAACTCTTGTGCTGGAATGGGTTTTTAGTGATAAAGAGTGGCGATGTCTCTATCTTTAATGATGAAATTGAGATAATTTGAAACTGTTAAATACCTAGTGAGGTATATTTGGTTATAAGGCTATGATAGTAGATTTTCATTAAAATCTTGACTATTATAAAATGTATGGTGGTTTAAAGTTATAGTTTCGACGTATTAATGATGAGATGAATGATTTTCTGTACAAAATGACTTAGAAGTACATCCTTCTAAATTGATAATGGGTCATTTCAAAATTTATTACAATTGTGGAAATAATTTTATAGCGAATGCCCTGTGGTACAAACATGTTTTATTGTGGAAAAACTTATTGATATGTATTTGGAATTAGTGAGGTGTTCTCATATCAGGGCCTCAATTAGAAATTGGAAAAATAGAAAAATATATGTACAAATATATATATATATATATGCTTTTCAACCCAGGCCTTCTTTAGGCTAACTATTGGGTTTGTTGGGGGATATATGAGCCAGGCTCTTTTGGCAGAGACTAGCTTGCATGGGGAAGTTTAGGCGAAGTAGTGTCATTGAGGTTGAATCTGGATGTGGCCCATGGCTATCAGACTCCATAGATAATAAAGAAAAGCCAGTCTAGTGGGGTGGGAGTGGCCCCAGGAGACTGGACCTGGTGAAAGAGTTCAGAAAGAAAGAAAGATCTTTATTGGGTCTGTTTTAAGCTTTTAATGTACTGCTTACATATTTCCAAATGTTCTCATGTGATGTAATCTAGTAAGCAATTGTTTTAGTTATGTTGTTGGAAGGGCAATTTATTTTATAACCAGAATGTTAAATTAAGAATTGTGCCTTCAGAGAAAAGAGAAAAAGGAATGAATCGGGACTGTTGGGGCATTCTATATGGTCCTGTTTTGTAACATTTCCTTTTAAGAATTGTAATTTAAGAAATGAGAACTTACAAGTTTTGCCTCTGTTTAAAGGAAAGTTTTAGCTGGGATTATCTGGCTCTCACCTATGAAGTTTAAAATTGTTAATTAAGCTATTTGGAGTTACTGTTTAAGTGAATTACTGGTAGAAGTATTTTTGTGTGTAAAGAAACTATGTAATTATGCAAAGAAAGATTTTGTAAATTCTCATAATTTTTATCAATCCTGTGCAGGAGTTTTCTCTTACTGATTAAGTGGACCATTGCAGACATCCCTGGACTAAAGAAATTAGGTAACTAGGAATTTTATGGTGATAATCATTTAAGATCAATTGAGCCCCAATAAGGGCCAAAAACCTGAACTGATCTTTTCTTCCTGAGTGAGCTAAGAATGCTGATCAAGAGCATTCTTATGTTTATGACCACTGAGGCGCCTTCAAGACACTACCTGGATGGTGGTAAAGGAGACCCAGATGTCCTGGATCTGACATTTGCCTATCTTATTTAAATTTCTTTTCTCATGCTCAGGTTAAACATTTGGAGACCATGAAAATGAGTAACCCAGATATCCTGAGTCAGGGTGGAATGTCACTTATCACTAGCTTGTGGTCTCTTTAACCAATGTTCAGGTTGACAATGGTAATTAGGAAATTGTAAGCTGTTTTTAAGAGAAGGAGATACTTTTATGAAGAAGATGTTTTGATGAAATCTTTGATATTCTTTTAGAGGGCCCACTAAAATTCCTTTTGCAAGCTAATTTGTTGCAATAATTTGATACTGATAACAGTTATGTCCGAATCTAATGTGAATTTTCTAAGTTTCATTCCTAGGTATGTTGTGTCCTTGAATTGGCCTTACATGGGTACTTTCAGAGGAACAGTTTGAGCTTCAGGTAGCATAAGGAATGACACTGGTCTCAAGAATGTAGGTCTGAAAGTTCAGTGCCCCACTCTAAGTTTTTAAGGGGTGGATGTAAAAGTGAAGAAGATAGGACAGCTAAAACATCTTAGCAGATTCTGGAAGTTTTTGAGATTGATCGTTAAGGAGTTTTTTTGTTTTTGGGGTTTTTTTACAATCTTGTCACTCCTCTCCCCCACTCCCTCCCCTTGACTCAAGAGGGCTTCTGTGTGTGGGGATTAAGAGAGTGTTTTACCCTCTTCCCTGTCTGTAAATTCACCTTCCCCTGCCTGGTTATAGGGAGGAGGGAGAGGGGCAGCAGCTACAGCCTGGAGAAGGATGGGTCAAGGTAAAGAAACCAGCCCATCCTTCTATCAATAATTTTACATGATCTGGAAACACAGTTGTTGCCATCTGAAGTTTATTGCTTATGCTACAGCTAAAATAATTTAGTTATCGCTTATGAAAATTATGAAAATCGCTTATGAAAATTGTAAGATTGTTGGTTATTGTTTTAAAGTTAAAACTTAAAACTGGCAATTGATCTGTGTGTGTGTTGACTGTTTTGATCTGAATTCATTCCATGGCCTAGAAAGAGCTAAAATTACTATTTGAACATATATGTATAAGATTCGAGTCCTGAAGGTAGTTCATTCTTTCAGATTAAGGATGGTTTGAGAGGGATAGATATGCTTGAGAAACAGAAAGGCAAATCTACTTAGAGTAGCAACTTATGATCTTAATGAAAATTTGATTTTACTTTGGATGTTATTAGGAACCATAACATGTGTAGGAAGTTATGCAAGCTACTTAGAGCTCACTTTGGAGGTGTTCCCTAATTAATGTGAGAATATAGTCACACCTGAAACTCTGATGAGGGGAATTTGCTATCTAAGACCTTGGAATCTGTTAATGAACTATTATTTTGAGTCTAACTCCAGGTATGGTTAACAAAGAACTGATTTAGCCTACTGACCCATGATGGCAGCAACCTGCAAAGAGGTTTGTGAGCTGCACCTATGAGCTGCAAGAAGGTGTTCTCATGGGAAGGTCAGGAGAACGACTTTTCTGTGGCTGAGGTAGGATTCTCCTGACTCAATTTCCCCACTATGACACCTGGCAGACTTTAAGCCTGGCTCAATGCAGTTTGCAGTTTGACATAACACTCTGCCTGGAGTTGACAGGAAGTTGGGGAAATATTGTTCCCTTATCATAAGTCTCATATATGTATTAACTAAGAGACTCAAGTCTCTTAGCAGCAAGTTTCTATAATCAGAAGGTTTGCAAGTACAGTAACAAATTCACTAAAATAATTGATTATGAAATATCTTAGGTTACTATAGAACTGGGACTAGTGTTCCTGTGTGTGTTCCCGTATGAGTTAGAGTTCGTTAATTCTTGGTAATGGTGTGGAGACAATAGGTCAGGGGCTTGTGAGAATGTTAGTTTGTTATTTGGTTAATATCATTGTCTAGAGTTTTGTTACATTAAAAGAAGAATGGCTTGTGGTATATTTTGTAAATGCCATCAAAGAAACATGGCATGACTAAAAGTTTAAGATCTTATACGTACTGTGTTAAAATTGATTATTTAATATATTTATGTATGTACTGGAGCCTGCTATGAATTCCTTGGGGAAATCTCATCCTCCTGTTGAGGAAATTAATAATGGGTTAATGTAAAGTATGAGACACTGAGTCCCGATGTGAATTTCTTAAACATGATGACTGGCCATGGTTCCAATTTTGAGTTTGTAAAAATGATCAGGGTTATAAGGATTAGAAATGGTAATTTAAAATTGTGCTAAGGCCACTTTTATAGGAGGATGGACAGAAAGCTGGTTCCTACAAGAAGACAAGAAGAAGAAGATGCTGAGATGCTGTGCTGGAGGTGGCTGGAACAAACACCAACGACCGACCTGAGGACTTCTTCCCTGCCAGACAGCTGTATAGGAAAAGCCTTTTTGAATCTTAAAGGGACAATTGCAATATTGTTTTCTTTGGGGTCTCTATATCTGCATTTAAAAAGGGGACTGCCCCTTTGATTTGTCGATGTGTAGATCAATCCTTCCCATATTTTAAAGGGGTGATGGTTAAGGGGAAGAATTCAGATGAGAAAAAGAGCAAGGAAGTAAAGGAGGCAGCGAAGAAGACATGATAGACAAATTTCATGGTTAGTCGAGGATTCTCTCTCAAAATTACTTCCATTAGAAGTTAGGGCAGAGGGCTCCAAGAAAATAATGATACAGAATCAGGCCTGATGGGTCAGAGATGGAGGATGAGAGAGTAGAGGGCATGTGCCTGGAGTGGTGTGGGAAGTCTTCATTAGCAAGACAAGAGGAGGGACTGAATGGAATGTAGTGAAGACCTCCCATAAAACCTAAACTCATAAGATATAAGATGTTATATCTGTGAAAACAAATGGTTGTCCATGGGGCAGAAACAAAGGAACTCAGGAATTTCACAGGGGTTTGTAGAATAAGGAAGGACATTGCAAGATAACCACGTCTGCTTGTCTGCTACTGTCGCGGAGAAGAAGATTTTATCCCGGCGTCTAGAATGTACCCTCAAGGCCTGTAACTATGGGCTAAGAGGAAGGGGGTTAGGGAGGGGAGTTGTGATAGGGCCCTTATAAAAACCTGCTGTATCTAGGTTCCTCGTGCCCTGACACTAAGAAGTTTTTCAGTGCGGGTGGCCCTTTCTCGCGAGATCGTAATAAAAATTCCTTTCTGCCTTCTACCTGGAGAAGCCTCTGAATTTATTGGAAATAAGGATAGCTGTCCCACACAGCGGCTTAAGTTGAATTCATTCAGGCAGGACCTACTTCTCTTGCTGTCGATATTTTGGGATCTCATCACCCCTAAACCTCAACACTGGGGGATAAAGCATCTAAACAGATTAGTAAATACATCATAATGGAAAGGAAAAGAACATTAACTAGGAAGATCAAGGAAAGTTTAGTTTAAGAGATGGTACCTAAAGGAGGTTAAGTATTCTAAGTGGCAAAGATGAGGCGGTAGTACACGCCAGGCATAGGAGAGAGCCTTTCCAAAGGCACAGAGATGAGGCATGGAATGCTTCTCTGAGACAACATCTAATTGGCCAATTTGGTGGGAATGCACTGAGGGAGGAGAAGACTGTAAAATCATGACTGTGAGGTTGGCTTTAAATGCCAATCTGATGGCAAATTATTGAGAGAGGAGGGGGAGGACTGGTATATGAAGCTTAAGGAGAGGAAATAGTGTTTGGAGTATCTATTATGAGGAGTGTGACTTCTTTGTGCAGATGACGCATCAATTTCTTTGTCAAGTTCCAGTCTCTCCCCTGAGTTCCACATCAATAATCACTTATTGGACATTTCAAACTGGTTGTCCTAGAGATCTCTCAAACTCTATATATCCAATACATAAACACTTTTCTTTGTAGTCAAATGTACCCCTCTTCCAAATTTCCCTTTTTCTATCAAAGGCATCAACATTCTTCTGTTCTTCCAGGCAGCTGGGGGTACAATGGATACAGTGCTGGACTTGGTGTTGAGAAGACCTGAGTTTAAATCCAGTCTTAGACGCTTCTTAACTTTGCGATTCTGGGTAAGTAGTTTAACATCTGTTCGTGTCAGTTTCCACAACTGGAAAATGGGGATAACAAAACCTACCTTGCAAGGTTGTTGTGAGGATCCAACAACATAATATTTATGAAGTTCTTAGCGTAGTTCGTGGCACATAGCAGGCACTATATAAATGCTGATTCTTCACCCCCTTCATTTTCCTAGATTCACCACTTTTGCCACAATATTTTCCACTCCTCAGTCTCCCTCATACTACAGAACACAATAGTAACAACAATAAAAAATAATAATTTACAAAGTGCTTTAAGGTTTGCAAAGTGCTTTACAAATATTATTTAAATTTATCTTCACAACAACCCTTCAGTTTAGCTTTTAAAGCCCTATCAGCTTGGCCCCAACCTGTCTTACCAGACTCATCATACATTGCGTGAACCATGATAATTTAGACTTTGCATTTCCCCTTGATGGGGTTTGTCACTGTACTGCCTTATGGCTCAATTCATCATCCCTGTAACTAAGTGCCCTTCATTGGGTAGTGCTCCCCTAAGTATATTGTCTGCCTCCATTGGAATGTAAACTCCTTCAGGGCAGAGACTGTCTTTGTTTTGCGTTTGTATCACCAATACTGAGCACGGTGCTTGTTGGCACAAGTAAGTGCTTACTAAATGTTTTATTAATTCATTACTCCTTCTCCCATGCTCTGAGATTCAGCCAACCTACCTATTTCTCTGTTCTTCACATAGTACACTCCTTGATATCTGCCACCTATATGTTGGTTTTTGTTTTGTTTTGTTTTGTTTTCATATAGATGAGTTTACTTTCTGATCTGGCCAGTTGTCTGGGTCAGCAAATACTAGGGCCTGACTGAATTCATAAGAGGTTCCAGTTCCTCTGCCTTATCCCAAGACCACAAGGATGACACATACCCAGAAAACAGCCTGCATATGCAATGTGTCTTAGCTTTGGCTGGCGCTATGTGAACCTTTGGTTCTGAAAGAGATCTTGGTGGTCAGAGCTGGTAGCTGAGTCATCAGTGCTTTGGGAGACCTAAGGAATTGTTTTTCTCAGATGCTTTGTTGAAACTGGGTGGAGTGGACTGTCTTTGGATTTGGCCATATGGTGCAGTGGAAAGAACACTAGCTCTGGAAGAAGGCCTATATTAAAATCTTACCTATGATGTTTATTACCCATGGAACTTTGGACAAGTCACCTACAATGTTTAAAAAGTGTGAAAGACCTAATTTCTAAATAATTAATCATTTTATTATTATTACTGTATATTACATATATTATATTTTTATTAATAATTTCTTTAATAAAAGAGGTTAATGGCACTCTCAAATGCCAAGCATCCTCATGGTGGTGGGCTCATGATTTATATGCCCTTAGAAAATTGGGTGTTCTAGGGGCAGCTAGGTGACACAGTGGATAGGGCTCCAGCCATGGAGTCAGGAGGACCTAAATTCAAATCAGGTCTCAGACACATAACACTCATTACCTGTGTGATTCTGGGCAAGTCACTTAGCCCCAACTGCCTCACAAAAAAAAAAAAGGAAAATTGGGTGTTCCAGAGGGTGGCAATCAACTGTGATTGGTTAACAATTAATGAGAGAATGAACATTACAATGGGAAGTGGCCTCACTCTAAAGAGAGGTTGACTCCATGCCAATTTTGGATTTAGAGACAATCTCTACACCCAGAACACCCCCAAGCCTTAGGCAATCTAGACAAAGTATCTACCTCCACCCAACTTGCTGGAGTGGAACACAATGGGCAGGAATCCTAAAGTGGGGTAAATTTTTGGCCAAGGTCAGTAATGTCCTTCAAAGCTAGGTTTTAAACAAGGAAATAGGACAGGAAAAAAGCCTGGATCTCCCCCATAATTGGTTATTAATTATAATTTCACTCACACTTTTCCCTCATGTCAAATATAGGATTGAAGTGGATGCCTTCTGAGGTCAAGATCTATGAACTATAAGGGCAGGGAGGCATCTGACTTCAGAGCCTGAGAAGGCCCAAGGCCAGAGCTGCTCCTCCTCAGTCCAGTTATAGAGGATTTAGAGAAGAATGGCTACTGCACAGGAGCCTTGGGCTCAGTGGCAGAATTATTACCTAAGTCCTCCAAGGCAACGATATTTTCAGGATTCAAATCAAAGCCTCCTAATTTAGTCCCTAAGAAGGCCTGAGGCTGAAGTGTTACCTCCAATGTTGGTGGAATCCAGAGAAGAGTACAAGAATCCAGGCATCCCAGTTGTATTGATCATTGGCAATGGAGGGTATTGGCCTTGTAATGAATGGGGGGAATGGTGGGCACCATTTCTATGAAGTGTAGTGAGTTCTTTGGAAAAGAGGACTCTACACTCAGTCTCTGAGGCAGGGCCAGGACTGGGACTGGGACACTCATACCCTTCCCATTGAGTAAAGATACTCCTGCTTCAGCTTCTGAGCAGTCTAGTTATTGAGTTTTAGGGGTCTAGGGGTGCTGGGACCCCAAAATCACAACATGCGGGACCTGTCCAAAAGAATTCAACAGAAGCCTTCTTTCAGCCAACGACAAGGTTTATTAGAACTTCTGTCATATTGGGCGGACTCTTTAGGAGTCTGAATGTTAGTGAGCTATTGGCTAGATTATAAGAATCTGAGAAGCTTAATGATGACAAGATGGACCTCATATACAGAAAGACTGTGGGAGGGATCTAGGAGTGGCCAAGTAGTCTATGAGGTAATAGAACTCCAGGGACCTGGACCTTGTGGCATTAACAAAAGGCTAGTTGATGGAATTATAGCCCATTTGGCCATGTAGGAAAGCCCAGAGTTTTTCCTTTTTGGGGTCTAGATCCCATCCTCATCATTGTGACCCTACTCCCCACTCCTGGCTGGACTAGTAGCCATCCTCTTCCACTATCATTCAATTTTGTCTGCTTCTGCCATTTGCATTGCTATCATATTTGTTTGCATGGATTGTCCCACTCTCCTCAACTTCTTCCCCCCTTACATTGTGAGCTCCTTGACAGCAGGGACCGTCTTTTTTAGTGAAGCTCCTGGCACTAAATAAAGGCTTATTGACTGTCAGCTAAAATTATGACTGCTAATATATATTTAATAATGTCTGGTTTGGAGTTCTATATCCTTTTTTCTAATTTTTTTTAGTTAAATATATTACTGTTATTCTTGGTTGGACCTCTGATTTCATTGTAATAGGAAACTCCTAATAACAAACGCCCTCCACAAATGTAGATCAGTACCTGCTTTGCAATGTTTTAACTTAATGAATTGCTTGGCTTGGAGCACTGAGGGGATTAGTGACTTTCCTACACAGGCAACATTATGTCAGAGACAGGAATTGAATTCAAATGGCCTACAGGGTCAGCTTTCTACTTACAATACCAGACCTCACAATGTTGGTTAAGACTTTTAAATGTGCAAATGCTATCCTAATGAATTGACTTTACTTGTTAGAAACAATCAAGAGAAAGTTGTGACTTCTTAAAAGCAAAGGTTCCATTGTCCCTTTACCAACATAATACACCTTGAAGTCATTCCCCTTGGCAGTGGTTAAGTTATTTAAAAGTAAAGGGATTCCCTTAGGAATTCTGTTCCTACTCATAGCTTATTCTGCTTACCTGTGCATTGTGATGGCTATTGTTATTTCACCTTATACTCTTACATTACTGAGATCTCTCCTGATTTTCACAGTTGTGATAATATTCATGTCTGCTCAGATGAGATACATTTATTTTGAATAACGCTCTAGTTCTTGGAACAATAGGTTGTGAGAGCCAGGACTTTCTTTTATATTTCTTTGTATCCTCAACAAGGGGATATCTCCTTTGGAGCCCCTTAGTACTGTGCCTGGCACATAGTAGGCACTTAAAATGCTTTTTGACTAACAGATTTGTTCACTTTAAACAGCGATGAGTTTTCACATTCTTTATTTACCATCTTATCTATCCAATCACTGCTAGAACTAGAAAATGGAAATGTAATGGACATGCATCTGAGATGGGATCTTTTCTGTCAAACAGGGAAACCTGATGAGTCACAGAAGCATCATGTCCTTCTAATCAGGACTATCTCAGATATGAGGTAGATGAGAATATAATTAGGGGGATTCAGTACCATTTGAATGATTGGTCTGAAAGAATAGTCACCACTGAGTCTGTCAACAGAAAAGAAAATCTTCCATGGAGTGTCTCTAGAGATCTAGCCTCTGACATATAATGGTGAACATTTTAATCAATAACTTAGATTGAAATATAAGTGGCATTTGTAAGATTTGCAGTTAACATGAAGGCAGGAGGGAGAGGTAACATGTTGGATGACAGAGTCAGAATCCAAGAAGATTTTGACAGGCTAGAACAGTGGATTTAGTTTAATAAAATTACATCTCAAAGGAAAAAAATTTGTGTACTATTTATATATGTATATATATTTATATATGTATATATGTATATGCACACATATAAGGCATATGTGTGTATATATACATATATACACATATACGACACATGCATATATGCATTATATATATAGTTCTATACTTAGGCTCAAAATTTCAACTTCACAAAAGTATACCATAAGTTTACCATAAGTAAACATAATCTCTATGAAAAATATCTTGCTTTTTATTGTATTGTAAGCTTAATATTATTCAATAAAATGAAATGACAGCAAAAAAGACTGTTCCCACCTTCAATTTCCACCTCATCTCCTGCCAGACTAGCCTCCTTTGGACATCTCCATCTTCTTCTTGTGAAAATCACATCAGCCCTGGAACTCATACCTCATCAGGACCTTCTGCCACCTTTCTGATTGGAGGGTGGCAGAGTGAAGAGCTCCTTCCCAAATCTCCACGTAAAGAGGGCACCCAAGCTAGCCATCTCTTCATTTCCTACACAGTCACATTGCTTTGGACTTCTTCATAATGCTCCCCCTTTTCAACTTCTTTTTGTGTGTTGTCTCATCAGATTGTAAGTTCCCTGAGAGTAGATATGGTCTTTCTTTTTTGATATTTGTAGCCCCAGTGCTTAGCACAATGAATTACATATCAGGCATTTAAGGTATATTGAGGAACTGACACTGTTCTTCCTCTGCAAAATGAAGGGGTTGGAGTACCTGACTTCTGAGGTCCTTTGCAGCTCTATGTCTATGAAATGTTAAACTGCATGAAGAATACTTCCATAGTTAATCTGCACTTTTAATGCTATACCAATCAATTACCATGGGAAGACTTTATAGTGTTGTATAAAATAATAAAATTGCTTTGGACAAACAAAGATCTAGAACATCAAGGAAAATGATGGAAAGAGGTAGGGATGAGGGAGGAATACCATATCCAGACCTCAAATTAGATTATAAAGCTACAATCATCAAAGCCATCTGTTATTGATTAAAAAATAGAGAGATAGATCAGTGGAATAGACTAGGTAAGGGAGAATCAGATACAATGGAAATCAATAGCCAAGTGTTTGATAAAGTAGAAAACAATTTACCTAAGCAAAAAAAAAACTGCTGAGAAAACTGGAAAGCAGTCTGGCAGAAAGGTGTGGGGAATTTGGGGCCTTGAGGCCATATGTGGCCCTCTAGGTCCTCAAGTGTGGCCCTTTGACTGAATCCAAACTTCAAGAAACAAATCCCCTTAATAAAAGGATTTATTCTGTAAAACTTGGGATCAGTCAAAAACTGTACCCAAACACCTAGAAGGTCACATGTGGCCTCAAGGCCACAGGTTCCCCACCCTTGGTAGACCAACACCTTTCTACCCCTCTCCATAATATATTCTAAATGGACACGTGGCCTTAATATAAATTATCAGAAAAATTATTTTTAAAAAACATTAGAAAAGAAGCAGATCATATACCTCGCAAAGCTATGGGTAGGAGATGTATACTTAACCAAACAAGAGATAGGGATAATTACAAAGGATGAAATAGCTTTGATTACATGAAATTACAAAGCATCTGTACAGACAAAATAAATGCAGCTAGGATAAAAAAAATGAAGTGGTCAAATGGGGGCACAAACCTTTGCATCAAATTTCCCTGATAAGAGTTTGGTATCAAAGATATGTAAACAAATTACATATATATTTATATTTACACATATGCATGTATATGTGTGTATAAAACTAATAGACATTCCCTAATAGATAAGTGGTCAAATATATATAAACAAACAACTTTCAAAAGAACTGCAAAGCATTCACAACCAGACTGAAAAAAAAAGAAATGTTCCAAATCACTAATAATAAGAGAAATACACATCAAAA